TAATACTGAACAAATTCCATCTATCAAGTTGCAGTGTGGCTATTGATTTAAGTGGAACTAAATTATAAGAGACCGAATCATCTAGGGAACACCGGTTCTCGTAAGACTACAGGTAAACTATGTTAACGAGTACCAATTATTATACAGACTAGGTTAAGAATTTTTTATCAGTTACCTCCAACCATATAACATCTTAAGATAATGCATGCAATATTGAGTCACTTAGACAAATAGTCACATAGTGACTTGATCAATACAATACAATCAACACTATAAGACTAGACAAACATGATATTGGTCACTACTCAATGATTACTCAGTTACAAACGGCATTACTTAATTATATTTACAGTGAATGCTATGTCGAACATCAACTGATTAAACTAGAATGTAATTACATAAATTTTAGACTTGATTTACATAGGTGTGGAATTATTTTCCTAGATAATCATTCCCGGTGAATTTGTATTTAAAGTGTATTTGAATGAAGACTGGGTGAATGATTTCCATCTACCGCTTCACACTTATCGTTATATGTCTTTGACTGAATTAGGATTAAAACATAATTATTTATTAGAATGAGGCTTCGTAGATATTGTAGTGATTTTAATAGTTGAATTCATAAGTCGATGTAAGCTAGACCACCATTGGAAACCTGAAAGCACTGGACGGTCTTTTCGTTGCTCAAGATCATGGATCGATTGAAGATAGACATTAACACCTTTGGATGCCAGGTCAGCGGTAAAGATGTTAAGAGTTTGTGCGTGTGACTGAGGGTTCTAGGTTCCAGTCCCTCGTACGAGATCTTGGAGGAGTCCCATACTAAGATGATGTGTCCGTCTAATGATCCCAGGTTTTCAATGGTGGCCTAGCTTACATGGATTGATGAATTCGACTATTAAAGCATAATTATTGAATGGAGAGTGAGTAACGTTGATTAGTGATTTATAGTTTTAAATCATGGACTGATTTTATGTAGTTAGGCAATATGTAAATAACCAGAAAGCACAAGGATCAATAAAAATGAATGATGATCACTTAATGTCATAAATTAACTGAAATTAAAAATGTGAACCAGTGGCTGTGTTTTGAGGGTCTTGAGTTTAATCTATGGCAGAGTTTTGGATGTTCATCGTTGAACAGTACTTCTACGAGTCTGAAACAAGTGTTGTCCAGCATTATAAATTGTTCTTTGGTATCCGGTCGGATAATGTGAACGAGATACTTAATGAAATAAGAGAACACTCATAATTAGTACTCAACATTATGCCCTCCAAACATTTTGATTCTCTTCTCAACTATTAAACAGACATTGGAATGAAAGTTTTGTCTGCTCCTGAGTAGAATATATTTCACGGAAAAGTATCCTTTTCAATATTTGTATTCAAAAAATTATAGCTTAAAAATGACTTTTACCCCTGAAAAATGTCAACACTGAGTGAATTCATAACAGAAATTTTCAGAATACACTGGAATGGGATACAGAAAATAATAATAGCTAACTTGTCAAAATCCAGTCTCATGTAGAAATGAACTCTCGTCTCATTAAATTAATTGAGAGTCTTGTTATTGTTTGCTTTCTGTAACATCCAGTTTTATTCCATGATCTTTCAATGATTGTCTCTTTAAAGCCGATTCTCAGTATGGGGGTTGTGGAGATTGTTAGGTTTTTAATTGAGATCATGAATCGATCGATGTTAGACCACCATTGAAAACCTGGAAGCGTGGAGGTTCTGGGTTCGGGTACCGCCTGCAGGATTGTTGATGCGTACTACTGGGAAGAAACGTCCGTCCACTGCTTCTAAATTTTTAATGGTGGTCTAATATCAATCGATTGATGATCTAAATCTAAAGCCAATTCGTTAAACAAGTTACAAAGGAAACGATTTCCACAAATAAATAGTAATTATTAAACAGTAAAAATGTTGATGATAATATCTCTGACTTAATCAAAATATCCATACAGCAACAATCTGATTCTAAGTGTTTGTATTATCCTCATTATTTCGGACCTACTGAACAGAAATATATTACATTCTATAATCATCCTAGTCTAATACTGTTACATACACTTCCCATATACAATTCGGACTATCTAATTTGGTAAAAAAAAAAAGACCAAGAATGTGTAAGGAGCTTTGACGGGTTAACCCTAATCGAAATATATGCACAAACTCATCTATAAATTTGTGTCTATCTTTTTCAAGATATCAATTCAGAATTTCAATCAATACAGTAAATCTGTTTCCTCGAAAAATTAAGCTAAATCTTGACCAATACCATATGATCTTTAATATCTTTCATTTAGAATATGTCTGGTTGACATGGCATATTGAAATTCCTAACAAAATTTATGATTCAACACAAAAACTGATATGAAAGTACAGATAGTATTTATGAAACTGTTTCTGTTGGAAATGTAGTTTAAAAATGATATCTCTAAGAAGATCATAATACAATACATTTTAGAAACGATAGAAGAAGAAGGAGAAGAAGAAGAAGAAGAAAAAGATTCAAATCAAAAGTATTACGTTCTGTTGAAGATGTCAAGTGCTTAAATAAAATTTAGTATGCAGAAATTGAGTGACTTTGAATTAATTCAATGTGATTGTTTTTATTGAACACAACATTAATTTGTATTCATTAATTCATCATATTCAATGGTATTAATTCTTTGTAGTTTGACATCTAAGTAACAATTAATTCGTTTGAAAAGTTCTGTAAATAATAAACATTGAATTTGGTCAATTTATAATTGAATGAACTTGGATATAATTGAATTAGGACTCAGTAGCTAAGTGGATAACATGATGGCATTGGAAGTGAACGATAGTGCGTATGAGTTGCGGAGTGAACATCAACTCTAAGATGCAAGTACATCTAGCTGACGAGTCCCAAGTAGGACGAAAACGTGTGTCCTGAATTCCACTGCTAACCACTATCCATCTTTGCTTATAAAGCTTATGATCTAAGGCAATATAGAGGCAGTTCACACAGGATGCACATATGTCAACAAGAGACTAATCAATTGCAGTCGTAAATAATAATGGGAAAATACAAGTAAACAACATCAAATGAAGTTGTAATTGAATCTTCTTTGTATTATTTTTAGTAACAAATATTATATAAAAGCCTTTGTTACAAGATAGAACTCTACGGCCTACAATTTTCATATCGAATGATTGGCTTTTATATCGATGAGTTGTTATTAACTAGTTTACACGGCTAACATTAATCAATTCACAATATTGTTCGACCATCTTCTAATTTTCTAGTTAAGTAATTGTCTGATGTAGAAATCCACAGAAATAAATAATAATAAAAACAACTTTATTTACAAAAATGTAATTTATATAGTTCATTTCATTCATTATCAACAACAATTGGATAAAAAGGAAATCCCAGAACAGAGTGGGTTAGAGAATGCTGGTCGACAACCTATACTTGATTGAGAGTAATAGGCGTAAGTAATTTCATTCATTATTATATTGATTAGATTTTTTCTATGATTATAGAAGTTTATTTTGACAAGAAGGAAAAGTTATAGAACACTGATCGAAATAAAAACTTACATGTTTTCATTCAGTAATTGATAAGAGAGAATGAAATAATTCATAGTATTCACTATCTTTTTCATTGGTTCAGAAAATTTATTTGCCATTACGTCACTATGCAATCATTACGTAACGTAACTGTTCGATAAGTTGCAAATTTCACTGGTTGAAATCATAAATCAATTGAAGCTAGACCACCATGGAAAACCTGGAAGCACTGGATGGCCGTTTCATCCTAGTATGGGACTCCTCAGCAGTGCGCACCCACGATCCCGCACCCCGCGAGATTCGAACCGAGAACCTACCAGTTTTAAATCATATATATATATATATTTATATATATATATATATCAGTTTAGAGCTATGATGAAAAACTAATTGAAAAGAAATTTCTTCACTCTACTCGTTTCCCGTCTTACCAATTTTTCTGATGAGTTTACATCGTTAGCTGTTTAAGGCTATAAGTGATCAATAATAATGATAATAATAATAATAATAATAATGATAATAATAATAATATTAACAAGTTCACTTGGTATTGTTTGTTTGGATCTTCGCATTGATGTTTAGGACTGCGATGGATCAGTAACATTATAAGCATATATGCGTACTATGTGTATCGTGTTGTTATTGCCTTAATTCACAAGCATTATGAGTAGAAATGGGTAGTGTCTAGTAGTAAGATCTAGGATGCGTGTTTCGTTCAATTTGGGACTCGTCAGCTAGATGTACCTACATCTCAAAGTTGATGTTCACTCTAGGACTCGAACCCAGTACTGTCGGCTTCAAATTCCACCACATTATCCACTCAGTTACTGAGTCCAGATGGCCACTAATGTTGGGGTGATCGAGAAAATTGCTTGCAAAAGACAAGCAAGTATCAGAAAATACTAAGAAGCGTTTCATTCAATCAGCGTTCACTTGAAGTCTTAGCCAGAAATATCAAAGAAGCGAAAGGTCACATTCAGAGACTCTGATTGGTTAGCTGCTACACTGCTACTATGTTTATTAGCATTCCAGAATCTTCTAGCAACCCAAAGACATTTAAAATATTATAAAAGCCCCTGTATTCTCTGTATTAAAATGAACCTTGGAGTAAACTACTTCTCGCATAGTTTGCGTCTTCTCTCTCGTGTTCATGTCGCTGTATAGTTCTAGCTTTGGGAGGTTACAGAATAGCTTAAGAGACGAATATAACGTTCAATCCGCAAGACTTATCAATTAACTTGTGCAATAATAATAATAATAATTATCCTTTTTGCATAATATAAATTCTACAATTTATAAGTTAAAATATTTATTTTTTGTTTACTCATTTACTGATTTACCTATTTGTTCATTTATTCAAATAATTTTAACCAATCAAATGAGAATTAGCAACAATAATAAAATTGACCAATCATTATTATCCAATAAGAATTTGAGCATAAATCAAATAATTGTAAATTGAATAATTAAATACTAATATATAAATTGATCATTTAATCTCTCTCTCGCGCGCGCGTGCACGCGCACACACACACACTCACTATATATATATATAATGGCGATTTTTGAAATGTGCTCTGTGCACTATATTAAACACAGATCAATTTCAAATTAAATCATTAAATTTCTGTATTTAAAAAAAATCGATCAATTATGATCAATATTTTATTTTTTTTCTTTTAATCAGTAAAATAAAGTGAATATATATATATATATATATATAAATAATAAATAATCTCACATTCATTTACACAAATTACATACATGGACACATATCTATGTGGCAACATGTACACACATACACGTACACACACGCACACACACTTGTTTATGTACATATGCCCAATTCAAATTAGCTTAATGTTCTCTTTCCGTATATATATGTATGTTGTGTTTTCTTTTTAAAGAATAAGTTGGGATTATGTTTATGATAAACAAGATATAAATATTAAAAGAACAAAACAAACAATGAATTAATTAAATAGAATGGATATTAAAGTGAATTCATTGTAGTGAACACCACATATATATATATATATAACTATACTTATGATTATTTATTTATATTTATCATAATCATAATGAATATTGAATTAAACACTGAAAAACAAAAAATAAATATGTTAGAAACTGTTAATACTACTAATGAAAATACTACTCATATTACAACTACAACTATAAATACTATGACAAGTATATCTACAAATATAAATTCAAAATCAATTGGAAATAGTTTATATGAAAGACGTAGAAATTGGCGTGTACATCAAATGAAATCATGTATGGAACCTCCAATAAATTATTCAATAACATCAATATATCATAAAGATAATGATGGAATAAAATTAAATACTACTACAAAAAAATCAGATATATTACATCATAAAGAAAATTGGTGGGGGAAAACTATTAGTCAGTAAGTTGTTTCACGTTATATATTTATATATATATATATATATATATATATGTAAACTGGAGTAAAACTGAATTTCGACGATGTTTTCGATTCATTGAGACGAGCATTAAACTTTACTGAAGTAAAACTAAAGATTGACCCAATTAAAATACTTAATTCTTTTTCTATTAGACATTTTTTTGTAGAATTCCAAAACGAAAAAAAACACGTACTATTCCATTTCGATCCATACATCGAGTCTTGTTTCATTTCGTTATATAATTCATCCTTTAAGAATATCAATCTATTATTCTTCACACCAATTATACTATAATAAAATCGATTTTTGTTAAATATGTAATAGTTGAAGTTAGACATTAACATCATTGGATGCCAGCCAGCTCAGTGATCTAGTGGTTAAGCACTCATGTACAAGACTAATAGATTCTGGGTTCGAATCTCGCAAGGTAGGATGATCATGGATCCACACTGCCAATGAGGAGTCCCATACTGGGAGGAAAAGGTCGTCCATTGCTTTCAGGTTTTTCATGGTGATCCAGCTTTAATTGACTCATGATCACAACTGTTTGAAATTACTATAATATTCACACAAAAAACCCCCTTCAACTCAGTATTCATATTTTAAGGAAAAAAACTTTTCAGTAGTCAATAATATCTACTAATCATTTTCAATCAGAATAGTTTCCTAACAATTCAACTATTATAACTATTTGTTTCTATTTAACATTTACATGATAAGATCTACCATTTCTAATATATTTTAGTTATTTATTGTTTTAAAAAATACATATAGTGTAGTGTATTCATTTAGAGTTTTTCACTATTTTACATGGTAACAAACCCGTAAGTACACATAATTAACATTTATAAAGTGTTCAGTTCAAATCATATGTAAAATATTAAAGTTTACTATAATCTATGTACAGTTGAAAAGTACATGACCTAAATATTTGACCAGGTCATTAATATATATGTATATAGGTTTAGTAAATGAGAATTTATAGCTTGATTGATGAAATGTCAGGTAAATAATTTGTAAACCCCACAGCAACAACAACAACAACAATTTGTTGGTTGAAATCATGAGTCAATTGAAGCTAGATCATTATGGAAAACCTGAAAGCACTGGATGGCCGTTTCGTTCTAGTATGGGACTCCTCAGCAGTGCCGTCTAGTGCTTCCAGGTTGTTCCATAGTGGTCTTGCTTCAATTGACTCATGATTTTAACCAGTAAAATTTCTAAAATCTCCATAAAACTCATTCTGATAAAAATTTGTTGATTAAGTCTAATTCATTTTTACATGTAATACATGTAATATAATGGAACAGAGTTAATACTTTGATACAACTATAAAGCTACTACAATAATACTGAATATTAAGTTATTTATGAAAATTTTGACTACATTACCGAATAACACTTAATATAGGAAAGATTTCTAGTAATTTTTAATATTCTTCTCTATGTATGTAGAGGTTAGATGTAGGGTATTAGGGAATGATCGTAAATCAGTTGATGAGGTTGTGAATCTTCATCGACTGAGATGGTTGGGCCACGTGTTACATATACCTGAACACCGATTACCACGACGCGCAATGCTGACTAATGTTGGAGATGGTTGTAAGAAACTTAGGGCCGGCCAAACTAAAACTTGGCATCAGTCCTTGAAGACACTAACTTCTAGTCTGAGCCATTTTGGTAGATGCAGACTACTTAGTTGGGGTCCGCATAACTATTGTAACCACTGGTTGGAGACTCATAGTGACATAGCTCAGAATCGATCACAATGGTGTAGGTGTATACACACTTTGTCTGCCCTTAAACGGTAAGATTAAAATTGCTTTATATCTTTCTTTTTACGAACTAATTCTTTCTTCTTGTACTATATCATTATGCACAATCATTCTTTTATATATTACTACGATTAAAGTAACTATTTCCATGAATTCGGTGTTCATCTTGTTGTGCTAATGTGGTGTGGCAACTTGGACCGATGGATATATGTACCTAGTCCTACGTTGTAGCTGACTGACTGACTATATTTTTAGATCATTTTATCAACTTTATTATTGGTCTTCATTAGGAAAATTGCTTGTTTTAATTAAATATTTAGGAGTGGGAATAATACATTCATTTGATTTTTCTGTTATTGTTATATGTAGTTAATCAAATTAATTAGTTTGTATTACGTACTTAGCTTAGTTAAACAACCATTGACAAAATATATTTTTTTAAAAAGAACACTGAATACTTGTCTTGTTCCAGTAGACTTCAACCATTTCCAGTGTGAGACAGTTATTGATGCATAACACTGGAAGATGACTAAACAATACTATGAATTGATTATTATGAAAAATATAAACAGTTGATGTCAAATCAGTAGACTGTAGGTTAACCATTTGCCATTAGATTGGAATATTCTGTACTTAATCCATTATGTTAGCATCATGAAAGAGTACTACTGAGCAGTTCTATACTAATACAAAATAGCTACTGAATGTTTCTTAGATTTTATTAATTATCTAACCAAGCTTAATCAGTAATGCAACCAATAAGATTAAATAATCTCCATAAAGTTCCTATGTTTATATTAATTACTGTTTAACTGTCAACTTATTGGAGTCATTGAAAATTATGATCATTTCAATTTCTCAATTATTATTATTATTATTAGCTTTACTCAATATGATATTTTTGGTACAATATAGAATTCTCAGCGCAAAGTATTTCAACAAGTCCCCGTTTCTTTCTTCTTGGTAGGTCCTGGCGATAAATACTGACTGATCGTCAGTTAGATGTTAGCAGTTCACTAAATGAACATCTGAATAATGTGCATTCTTTTCGTTGTATATAGCCAGCAACCACATTGTCTCTTATTGAGTTTTTTGTAACTTTGACAACGAAAGATTGTACACTTTTCAGTAACGCAGCAGAATAGGTTATGCGATAAATAGACATAATGATATATTAAAGCAAAAAAAAATAGATAACTTGTTGAAATATCTAGATGGCAGGAAACAGGTAGCCCAGATGCTCAAGCAGGCCGCCCTGTCCTAATACATATATCTCTTCATTCTCAAATTCGATTAATTGACGAAAGATTCCGTTTTCTGACATATTACATAATATATTAAGTTAGGATTTGAAATTCTATTTGATGAGCAAATAACAAATTTGGTCCTATCAATTTTAATGCGGTCTTGCCCATTTCATTCAATATAAACCCAAAGATTCCGTTACTCCATCTATTACATGACTGACAGTTCAACCTGATTCTGATATTTTAAAATTTTTAGTGAAAATACTGGAAGATCACATAAGTGTTCATAAGAATTTTCATTATTTAGATCCATTTTGTATTGTTTGTTTTAATCTTCCCATTGATGTTTAAGATTGCAATTGATCAGTCTTGTATTGGCATATGTACATCCTGTACGGATTGCCACGTTATTGTCTTACGTCACAAACATTATAAGTAGAGATGGATAATGTCTAGCAATGGAATCCAGGATGAGCGTTTCGTCCTAATTGGGCTCACAGCTGATGATATCGGTAGAATGCAAAAATAGCATGCACCGCATATTCGAATGTGCGCTAGGTAGATAGTTATGCATATATATGTTCATAACATTAACATAATAGACTACATTTTGAATTGTTACCATAAAATATTGTTTTACTACCCATATGAAGTACTTTACAAAAATTCAAAATGTTTCCATTTACATGAACATTTTTATATAAATTTTAATATACTGGGAATTAAAAAGGGAACAGTAACACCTTTAAAAACTCATTCTCATCTTATTTGCTTTTGTGTTTTTTTAAATACTGTTATTCATTTTACAGTGGTTGAACTACAATGAAGTTTTCCTCTATCTGTCTCCGTCGCTCGCTTTCAGTTAGTTCGCTACTAGAATTAATGTACTCATTTCTATAACCTAATCTCTTGGGTGTTGGGAAAAAAAAGGGCAACCACAAAGTTGAATAATCTAGTCAACCATATTTATTGATTTATTTATCGACACAATGATCGTAACATTTATTATTTGTATTTAGTTAACTAAAAGTTGTTGAATACTCAGTAAAGTTTGTCCATGGTAATAACATTTCGAATTTAGTAATCATCTGAAGTTGGTCGCGCAATTTCGTGGATTAGTTGATGTTAGAAACTATCACCATTGGATGCCGACTCAGTGGTCCAGTTGGTTGAGCGTTCGCGCGCGAGACCGAAGGCCCTGGGTTCGAATCCTGCGAGCGGGATCGTGGATGCGCACTGCTGAAGAGTCCCGCAATAGAACGAAACGGCCGTCCAGTACTTCCAGGTTTTCAATTGTGGTGGTCTAACATCAATCGGTTCATGATCTCAATAAGTCATCTGAACACCCTACAAAAAAAAATTTTTTTCCAATTAGCTAGTGAACAGAACACCAGTGGGGACAATCAAATATATTAGACACAAAACTACAGGATTTGCTAAGAAAATATAACAATCATAAAGTAAATGCTTAATCTACAAAATGTCCATTGACTGTCTCAAAATGACTCAGACTTCATTGTTCTTTTATTTTCATACCAATTGCATCCTGTTTCCATTTTTTACTGTTCAATCGTTTTGCCTCTCTGTTGCCAGACATTCTGATCACGATTAACGTCATATACTACTTATGTCCACATAAGTAGCACACACTACAGTGTGATTATTTACATACAAAGATTATTTCAGTCCTCTAAAATGTTTTACTATTGATAGTCAAACAATTCTATTTTGGTCGCTTCAATCTACATTCTTTTGTTTCACGAAGAACAAATGGATAAAAATTTAAATTAGAGATTAATAAATCAAGTAATTTCTGTAGTCTTTTAGTTCAATGTTATGTAACTGTTCTATTTTCCATAATAGTTGCCACCAGAAAAATCGAAATCTTGTGAATGACAGTTTTAAGAGTTAATATTAAAAACTATAACTGTATACTTGTTACATGATTTTTTGGCGATTT